GACGGCGAGCCGAGCGACTGGGCCGTGGCTGGTCAGAACGTGGTTCTCAATCTGGCGAATATCGATCCTATTCACCTTCGGTCTGGCGATGTTATTTGCCGTGCATCAGCACCCATCGCGAATATCACCTCGTTCACTGCGAAGGTGCTAGCGTTCGATCATCTGATGCCTAGCATGGTAGATATTCACCGAGGACGTCTCCACGTTCCCGGACGAATCAGCCGCTTGATCGCGACGCTCGATAAGGGATCTGGCTCGGTAATCAAGAAGAAGCCCAAGATTGTTGCTCCTGGTAGTGTGGCACGCATTGTGGTTGAGATGGACCAGGCAGTGCCTCTGGAAGCACCTACGAGGATTGTTCTACGATCGGGAGGCGACACGGTGGCCGCTGGCTTGCTTGAATGATACCGAGTACATTGATAGAGTTAGTCCGAAGTATATAGATATCACGAAAATATTATGACCGGGATTGCATATTCTCTTGTAAATTGCTTCGCTTCTTTGTATGTTTTCCAAATTGCCCCTAAGTATAGGGCTTATTCCATAGAGATCAAGACATACGATGCAATTCCCTGAATGGTAGTTATCGAATCTGATAGCTTGACTCTCTAGGGGATAGTTACAGAGTTACTCTGTAGGGCTACGAATATAAGCCTGGAAGGCTAAGATATTGACCAGCTGTTMACTTGGCATCCAACTACGCAGCATCCGTAGAGTGTGATTATATGGTTCAGCCCGAGATTTGGGTGCACCGTCTGAKTTTGACTCAATAATAGGTATTGTCAATGCCGTAACCATTGGATATTGTCCACGTATCCAAGAAACTGCCAATTGAGAGAAGCAAAAGTGTCCTCTTCTAGCAATTTCGATCGACAGCTCCACATTTCCCTGGCCACTGAGCCCTGACTTCCCTTTTGGGAATCGCGTGGATGAACGCCTCGGAATTTCGCCGGCAGAACTCGGGCGGTGAATGACCCTGCTGACTCAGTCTTCAGCCCAGGAGGCCTGCAGCAGCCAATCGCAGGGCGAGAAGTAACCTTAAATGCAACACCCGTGAAAAGGCCAGCATGGCCGCTGCGTTCTCTTTGCCGCCGCCAACCCATACAAGAAGAACAAAGCTGGCCGTAGCTTCCTGGACATTCTTCTTCCTCTTCTTTCTTCAACTCATTCCTTCGACAACCCCGGTCGCCTCTCGCTTGTTTCTCTTTTTCTCCTAACCCTTGACTGTCTTGTCATTCTTCCTTTACATTGTAAGGAAGTGTGTTTACTAGGACTTCGGGATTTTGGAGCGTGTTTTGGGAGATAGACACGTATTCTCAACCGCACCGGATTGAGACATCCTGACAGCCTGTACATTTCTCTATCAGGCCTATTGTAAAGGAGCTCCTTTTTACATCACATATTCATCATGTCGCGGCTATCGAGTCGCAATGGCGCGGCCAAGCCGTTCACTGCTTGGACCACTGTCTTCTACCTCCTCCTTGTCTTCATTGCGCCTCTGGCCTTTTTCGGAACAGCACACGCTGAGGAAGACTCAGTACAGGACAACTATGGCACTGGTACGTCTCGAATATTCTTTTCCTGAAGACTTGAAAATTCTTTTACTAATATGGTGCTGCCAATAGTCATCGGTATCGATCTCGGAACAACATACTCTTGCGTCGGTGTGATGCAGAACGGAAAGGTTGAAATTATCGCCAACGACCAAGGAAACCGTATCACTCCTTCCTATGTCGCCTTCACTGATGAAGAGCGCCTGGTTGGTGACGCCGCCAAGAACCAATACGCCGCGAACCCTACCCGGACCATCTTTGACATCAAGTGAGTTTGACCGTCGGGTTTCCGATAGCTGAAGAGTTTGTGCTAACCTCTGCCAGGCGTCTGATTGGACGCAAGTTCGATGACAAGGATGTCCAGAAGGACGCCAAGAACTTCCCCTTCAAGATTGTCAACAAGGATGGCAAGCCTGTCGTCAAGGTCGAAGTCAACAAGTCCCCCAAGATCTTCACCCCCGAGGAGGTTTCCGCCATGGTTCTTGGAAAGATGAAGGAGATCGCTGAGGGCTACCTCGGAAAGAAGGTTACCCACGCCGTTGTCACCGTTCCCGCCTACTTCAACGACGCCCAGAGACAGGCTACCAAGGACGCTGGTACCATTGCCGGCCTGAACGTTCTCCGTGTTGTCAACGAGCCCACCGCCGCCGCTATCGCCTACGGTCTGGACAAGACTGGTGATGAGCGTATGGTCATCGTGTACGATCTTGGTGGTGGTACTTTCGATGTCTCCCTTCTGTCCATCGACAACGGCGTCTTCGAGGTCTTGGCTACTGCCGGTGACACCCACCTTGGTGGTGAGGACTTTGACCACCGCGTCATGGACTACTTCGTCAAGCAATACAACAAGAAGAACAACGTTGACGTCTCCAAGGATCTTAAGGCCATGGGTAAGCTGAAGCGCGAAGTCGAGAAGGCCAAGCGTACTCTGTCTTCCCAGATGTCCACTCGCATTGAAATCGAATCCTTCCACAACGGCGAGGACTTCTCGGAGACTCTCACTCGCGCCAAGTTTGAGGAACTCAACATGGATCTGTTCAAGAAGACCCTGAAGCCCGTCGAGCAGGTGCTCAAGGACGCCAAGGTCAAGAAGTCCGATGTCAACGACATTGTTCTGGTCGGTGGTTCCACTCGTATTCCCAAGGTCCAGGCTCTCCTCGAGGAGTTCTTTGGTGGCAAGAAGGCCTCCAAGGGTATCAACCCCGATGAGGCTGTCGCTTTCGGTGCTGCCGTTCAGKGTGGTGTCCTCTCTGGTGAGGAAGGTACCGGCGATGTCGTTCTCATGGACGTCAACCCTCTTACCCTGGGCATTGAGACCACCGGTGGTGTCATGACCAAGCTCATTCCCCGCAACACTGTCATCCCTACCCGCAAGTCTCAGATCTTCTCGACCGCCGCTGACAACCAGCCCACCGTCCTGATCCAAGTTTGTAAGTATTTGCCATTGTGCTTGATTGAAGATATGGCGATATACTGACTGATGTCTCAGATGAGGGAGAACGTTCTCTGACCAAGGACAACAATCTTCTCGGCAAGTTCGAGCTGACTGGTATCCCTCCCGCCCCTCGTGGCGTGCCTCAGATTGAGGTCTCCTTCGACCTGGATGCCAACGGTATCCTGAAGGTTAGCGCCAGCGACAAGGGTACTGGCAAGGCCGAGTCCATCACCATTACCAACGACAAGGGCCGTCTGTCCCAGGAGGAGATCGACCGCATGGTCGCCGAGGCCGAGGAATTCGCCGAGGAGGACAAGGCTATMAAGGCCAAGATTGAGGCTCGTAACTCGCTGGAGAACTATGCCTTCAGCCTGAAGAACCAGGTCAACGACGAGAACGGTCTTGGTGGCCAGATCGATGAGGATGACAAGCAGACTATTTTGGATGCCGTCAAGGAGGTTACCGACTGGCTGGAGGACAACGCTGCCACTGCCACCACCGAAGACTTTGAGGAGCAGAAGGAGCAACTGTCCAACGTCGCCTACCCCATCACCAGCAAGCTGTATGGCTCTGCACCGGCGGATGAGGAGGAGGAGCCCAGCGGCCATGACGAACTGTAAAATTACTTTAGAGGGATTTACGGAGTTTTGATTTGTTAATTGATTCATTATGGATTTTCCTTTGGGAATAAGCCAGAGTCGCCTCGATGTATGTTAAGAGGCAAAATAAATGATACCTCATTGATATGTACTTTCTTTTTGCCTTTTGCCTAGACTATTCACGTACTATACAAAGCGGTTGCTCAATCGAGCCCAATCAATCCTGTCCTCGCTTATGTAGAATACGCCGACAGCGGATGGATATCCAGACAGCTCAAGCGCTGCTGTTCAGGATGTAATCCCGGACCACCTCGACAACGACCTGGTGATCGTGCTCCTGCTTCAACCCACTGACAACAATGACTCCCACCACACCATCGACGCTCCTGACCCGAACCGGGAACGCACCGCCGTGGATGGCATAGTCATCCGCAGCACCACCACTCGAGCTGTTGAGCGCGTACTTCTTCACAAACGCCTCCTCCACCTCAGACGCACTGAGCCCCGTGCTCGTCAGCATCTTATTCCGCATCAACCAGCTGGACACACCGAACCGCAGCACGGTATTCCGCTTCCGCCTCACCCACACCTCATTGTCGGCGACGGTGCCCGGTTCAGTTGCGCACTGGAAGATAACGTGGGGCTCGGAGCCGCCGGTTAGACAGATTGAGATGAGGGCCGGTTTGCGCTGGTCGGCGGGGAGGGAGAGGATGCGGTCGCGGAGGGCGAGGCCGAGCGACCAGGCGGTTGTGGATGTGAAGGAGGGGAAGATCACTGCCGAGGAGGATTCCTGGGCGGCGAGCTCGCGGACCTGGTGTTCTTCTTGTTAGTGCGTGTTCGTGCAGCATTGATGGCTGAGGGTTGATAGTTGCTGGGTCTGGGGCTGGCGTACGTCTGTGCTGGTTGGGCCGAGTGGTCTGTCCATTTTGAAGGGTCTAAGTGCGTTTTTAGGAGGAAGGGTGGGAAATGAGAGGAGAGAAGAGAAGATGAAGAAATGAAGGGTATATATGCGGATGATTCGGTGAGTCTATGGAGTTTCTACCTAATTTCGATTGTCACATATGGAAGGGATCTGAAAGTAGGGAAGGTCCTCCCTCCCGCGGCGGGGTCATGACGTCGGCCGAAGGAGATAGGTTGGCCGATACTGAGAGTCGACATCTTCTCTTGAGAATTGAGGATATTATCTGATGAAGAGTACATGGAGATTTCTGTTGGAATTTTCAGTATACGGAGGTTAGCAAGTGCTTTAGAGTATGCTTGTAGAACCCACCAATGTCTGTCCAGCATGCATGGACAGCGCGGCTTCCCCTCATCTGCAGGTGCTTGATCATCCTGTGGTAACAGGAACTCCACTTGCACGACACTTCAGATCACTTTGATAGCAGATATAGAAGATACGGAATACCTGATCGGATGCGCCGACAACTCACCAAAAGAGCATGTGATGAGTGCATATCTCGCAAGGTGAAGTGTAGCGGCTCCTTGCCTTGCGATACTTGCCTGAAGACGTCCAAGGAAGCGGACTGCACGTACCTCAAGCCCCCGGGAAGGAGGGGACCAAAAGCCCGACGATATACCAACAAAGGCAGGTCCGCCAGTGATGGATCGATCGGCGATGCTCGTACGGAGGAAGCTGCTGCAAGCACCCAGTCGGTCGAGAATCGTCCGGTAAACCGTGCTGACGTTCAGGCTGATGCTGAGGGGGATGACGCCCTGTCTGCATCAGGCTGGAGAAATGAGACATGCATTCCCAATACGGTACTGGTCTATATCGTCCGCCTGTACCAGACTTTCTCGTATAGTGTTTGGCCGGTGGTCCGCGCAGATGCGCTTTGCCAACAGGTGGAGAACGGCACCTGCGATGCACAGACACTTTGTTTAGTGCTGGCGCTGTGTGCCGCGACGATGGCACAGTTGCAGCTTTCTCCCATCGCTGGCGAAAATGAGCAGACGGTAGACAGTGCCCTGCTCAAATTGGAGTGTATGCGACTTCGGGAGGGGAGTGACTACAGGGAGAATCTTGACATCAGGGGTGTGCTTGTTTCATTCTTTCTGCATGTGTATCATGCAAAGATTAACCAGCGGAAGTCGGCTATGCTGTTTATACAGGAGGCCATCGCGAGCGCGAGATTGTTACGGTTGGACACGAACGAACAGAATTGTGTCGTTACGGATGGCGTTGTTGCAAACGAGGAGATTGTGTTTCTTTTGCTGTGGGTGTCTGAGAGGTAGGTCTGTAAGCATAATGAGAACTCCGCTGGTACTGATGCAGCGCAGAGGATATGCCATGCACCTTGGTGTGAGGCCTTCATACAGTGATCCAGTTCAGGTTCCGGATGCAGCACAACTGGCAATGAACCCTCATGCGCGGGGGTTACTCGAGCTTTTCAGTCTTTTTGTCACATTCGACAAGGTCCAGGCACGACGATGCCGCAGTGGCAGTTTGGCTCAAGCTTTATCTGCAGCTACTCTAGCTGAAACAGAAGCAGCACTGTCGCTACTAGCCTTCAACTCAGACGACCAGGCATCCACACGGCTGGCGGACTGTTACATCACGAGAGAATGGATGAGAACTATTGTCTGGCAGGAAGCACTATCTCGGCATCTGTTATCCTCGATCTCTACCACCGAGGCGATGACCTTTCGATTCCCAGTAGTTGTTGGTCGTGATCTGTTAATGTCCCTGCAAGGACTGTCTGCGACAGACTTGCTGCCTTTGGGGCGGGACCAGGTGAGTCTCATGCAGACTACTGCAAGAAATGTTGTCGAGTGAGAGAATGACGTTAGTATAGCTATTGAAGTGTTTTGAGGTTGCCAACTCTCTGGCAGACACCATCATCTATACTCCCCCAAGCTCATTTTCGAACGCCCTTCAGATCGGGCCCCAAGACTTTCTACACGCTTTGTACCAAAAGATTCTGCCATTTCTGGAGCATGATCCGATGCTGAAATCAATTCTTCGTGCGAAAACAGCCGAGGCTTTGGTGATGGCCCCTGCTCGTTTGAGTGTCGGGCTTGTTGCGAGGCTAGATGTGGAAGAGGAGATTATGTCAGAGCAAGCTGACCACGTTCATTGATCGAAGTATCAATCTTATCCAGCAGCCAAAGATGAGAACGAAAGACAAAGATCACTCTGCAATCTGGAGGACGATTCGTCCTGAAATATCACCTTTCTCCATTTCCTCGTACACTTGAGGCAGATCCTTGAATGGCCGGACTCGGATTTCTGGTTTGACCATTCCCCGACGGACCAACTCAACCGCTTCCATACATTCTTTGAGTGAACCAACCAGATTGCCGGTGATCCTGAGCCCTTTGATGACAATGGTGCAGATGGGGGTCTCCAGCACGGGACGCCCTGGGGGAATGCCGACGCAGCTCAGTGTGCCTCCGACGCGCAGCATGTCGCATGCATGGGCAAAAGCTTTTGCATTGCCGGCAGTCACAACTACAGCGTGTGCCCCCAGTCCAGTGATTTCGTGAACACGCTGCACAGGGTTGTTAGATTTGAAGTCGATGAACTCGACAGCACCAAGTCCGAGAACGAAGTCTCGTTTATCTCCAGTGTCGACTCCGATAACCAGTGCACCATGGGCTTTTGCGTATTGAACTGATACAGTATCAGCTGGCCGTCTTGTGGTTTGACGAGGGAACAACCTTACCCGCGAGGTGTCCGAGGCCGCCTCCAGCACCCACTACAACGAACCAGTTTCCCGCTCTGACGTTGGCATTGAGAACGGCCTAACAGGTTAGAAGACCACGGAACCGATGGGGGCTTGCAAACCTTGTAAGCCGTCACCCCAGCGCATAAGACCGGGCCAATGACTTTCGGATCAATGTCGTCCGGCAGGATTGTCAGATAGTCTGCGTCGAGGGCAATGTACATTTGGAAGCTGCCATCCTCGTGGTGCAGATGGTTGGTGCTCTTGATGCAATACTGTTCTGTCCCGGCGAGGCAGAACTCGCATCGTCTGCAGATACGGCTGGCGAAACGAATGCCCACCAGACCTCCAACTTTCAAGTCAGGTCCGCAACCAGGACCCAGTGCCACAATCCGACCGACTCCTTCGTGTCCACCAACGTGAGGACGCTTGATGTTCGTGATGGGATTTCCGTCGGCACCAGCTGCAGTTCCATTCTTGGTGTGGAGATCTGCATGCTTAGGAGAATTGACTCTACTTGAGACTGGTGAACTCACCACTCTGACAAACACCGGTGTAGAGGACCTTTGCGAGCACCTCGTTTTGACCCGGGACTGGGACAGGATACTGATCGTTGAATTCCACCTTGCCTCCAAGTTCCGAGACAAGAGCTACAGTCTGAATCTGTGGGATTTGCATCGTTAAGGGCGTAGATACGAAATTTTGGAGCAAGCTGAAATTCAGTCTTTCACTCTGGATACACTCGTCTGGGTCATGAGATTAAATAGAACATGTAGCAGGACATCATGTATGAGAATTATAGCAATCATGCATCACTTTGTTGGCATTGTTGTACGCTATATTTCTCCAATTGGCTATTTGTCCTGCATTAAAGAGACTCGACTTGTACAGAAAGCCAGTGCCTTCATTGCATTCGCGATTTGTGTAACCTCGAGACTGGAGAATTGTAATTCTCCGAGTGATGGCAAATATGAGGTCTTCAGAATTCACCTGTGCGAGGCGCTGTCATGTGCTGAGAATAGGGTGTCCGCTATCTACTTCGTCCTCCGTACAACTTCTCGTTTCCTGGGATTTCTCTGTTCCCCGCATTAAAACAGGCTAATTATACTGGCTAAACTGCGCTAACTGGTAACATCATTAGAAGGATCTCGATGTCTCACTTCTCACCCCAGAGTTCGGCTCCGCCTGCTGCACTCCACACGCCGTGTCTCTATGGAGTCAGTCAATTCCAGATATCAATTCTCCTCAAGCCAACGTGGGCATTTCTCCGAGGCATTTCTCCGAGCATATGACGCATCACCGTTTTATTGCATGATTCTGCATCGACCAATGATGATCGTTCATTCATCCCCTCTTCCTGGCTGAGTGCTGAAGAGATCGAGAGATCAAGATGCTATGCCGCTGCTGAAGATCACCCGCTTATCGACAAAACAACTCGCTGATCTGAAGAAGCCGTTCATGCCTCTTTCCGACTCTCTGTATGCTGCTAAACTCCTTCCCTCGACAAATTCCGGTACCGTTAACTTCTCGATCAAAATGACGATGGCATCTAGCTTTTCATTTGCCTCTATTTTAATGCAGGAATACGATTGATGGAAATTCCCAGAGTGGCTAGCCTTTGCATAGTTACGGTTCTGGGCGAGTCCGTACAGGGGACAACTCCGGCGGGATGAAGCTCCCTCCGCATTTTCGATACTCTACCTCGCTGAGACTCTTTCGTCTAATCATGATTCGATTGGAGAGTGACGAAGTGAGCATCGCAATGGTCAACTATAAAACCGGGGTTGCGGCAGTCTACAGGAACACTTCTGACAGCTCAAGCCGTCAACTACGCAAGCTCCTGACTGACAATGAGATTACTTCGCCTTCTCACCCTCGCGCCTTTGGCCCTGGCTGCGAGTGTCCCTCGGGCCACCATTCCTACCTACAATGCGGTGACTGTCTTCAGTCCCCCGGCTGACTACAACGTCCCGCGCGTCCTGTACGCGCGCAACCTGGAGCTGCCCAACGGGGACCTCCTAAGCATCTGGGAGAACTACTCCAAGGAGCCCCCACAAGTGTACTTCCCTGTCTATCGGTCCAGTGACCACGGACGGACCTGGAAGGAGCTCTCGCAGATCCACGACCAGGTGTATGGCTACGGATTGCGCTACCAGCCGTTTCTGTACAGACTCCCGGAACGCATTGGATCGTTCCCTGCGGGGACGATCCTGATGGCGGGCAGCGCCATTCCCACCGATCTATCGTCGACGCACATTGAGCTGTATGCGTCGCACGACTCTGGTGTGACGTGGAAGTTTGTGAGCCACATTGCTGCTGGCGGGAAGGCTGTTCCCGACAACGGGTTGACGCCAGTATGGGAGCCTTTCCTGATGGCTCAGTAAGTCTCCATCGGATAATAGTCATTCCAGTTCTAACCGTCTGTGACAGCAATGGCAAGTTGATCTGCTACTATTCCGACCAGAGAGCCAACACCACCCACGGCCAGAAGCTGGTCCACCAGGTTACAACGGACCTCAAGAACTGGGGTCCTGTCGTTGACGATGTGTATGTCTACCCATCACTGTGGCGGAACGAGACTGACCTATAACAGTGCCTACCCAACCTACACCGACCGTCCCGGCATGCCCGTGGTCGCCAAGCTCCCCAACGGCAAATACATCTACACCTACGAATACGGCTCCTTCTTCGGCACCAGCAGCTACTCCTTCCCCGTCTACTACCGCATCTCGGCGGACCCGGAGAACTTCCTGTCCGCTCCACACCAGCGCCTTGTCACGAACACGGGCCATGTCCCCACCTCGTCGCCCTACGTCGTCTGGAGCCCGTACGGCGGCGTCAACGGAACGATCATCGTGAGCTCATATTCGTCCAGCAGCGTGTTCATCAACCAGGCGCTGGGTGAGGGCCCGTGGAGGGAGATCCCTACGTCTGAGCCGAACTCTTATACCCGGTCGCTGCGGGTTCTCAACGAGGACCCGAAGATGCTCTTGATTAATGGCGCCGGTGTCTTGAATGGGCAGAGCAACAAGGTTACTGTGACCCTGCTGAACCTGGAGGAAGCACTGCGTTAGTACTCGGTGGAGTACTGAGCAGTGTAGGATTGACCAGAAGTGAGCAGATGATGGGATCAACGTGTCCATGTACAGTCAGATGAACTATAACTTATTCATCTCATGCAAGACGTATCTGCTTGCGATTGCAGCATATCTCAGTAACATTTAACTACATCTCTGTATAGAAGCTATTAAAAGGCATATATAACAGAGCTATCAGGCCAGATGGCTCCATATGCTACCATATAGCATGCTCTATGGAATCACCGTTATGACTTTTAGTACTGTTGTTAGTAGCTGCCTGGAATACTTCCTATAAGGACATTCGATTCTACTCTAAATTGCTGTCAATATATTACATCTGCATGTATATGGCAGCCCGTATGGGACCTCACTGCAGCTCGATCCTGCTGGATGCTCTGCATACTTTGATCCTGCAGGTACAGACTTACTGAATACATTTGAAGCTAATGCAATGGACGACGCTTGATGATCCTGTTAATTAGAGAGTATACTAGGCAGAAATAACCAATTGGTACAACACAGACAACATCTTGTACACCCACGCGTGATTCAATATATTGATAGCTTAGAACGCACGAACAAACGCACCAACTAATTACCTGACTCGGACTCGGAGTAATCAGTCTGATGCTGGCCTACAAACAAGCAGCTATTACATAACGCCAACCAAACCATATCTCCAACACATTTCCCTAGCCGCTTTCATCCCTGTCTTTCATCCCGGCACAATGACTCATTCGGTCCGTCCCTGCGCAACAACCCGGGAATCGGCTCTGGAATCACGCCGCACCCGAATAGAATGGCAGTATCGTTCTTTCGGATAGGGTTTACTTAGTTAAGGGTCTTGTCAGCCATTCAAACCGTCTGGAATCACCCTACGAACAAACCATCTGGCTTCATCCCGAGTCATTGAGATATCCTGCAGCACGATCAAAATGCCAACCAGTGTGTCGTTTAGTCCCGATAAAATGCCAGACCTCTCCGGGAAGGTCATTCTAGTAACTGGCGGTTAGACCAGCATGGCATTCCCTCAGCATTGGCGTTCCCCTAACATATCACAGGAACTGCCGGTCTGGGCGCCGCGACGGTGCTCCATCTGGCGAAACACTCACAGCCGCCCGCACACATCTACATCAGCGGACGGAACGCAAAGCGCGCCGACGAGCTTATCAAACAGGTAGCAGGCTCAAACTCTCCGACGCCTGTCTCGTTCCTCCCCTGCGACCTGGCCTCCCTCGCCTCCGTAAACGAAGCAGCCGAAACAATCCTCAGCCAGGAATCCCGGCTCGACATCCTCATGTGCAACGCAGGCGTCATGCCGCAGGCGCCCGCGCTGACAAAGGACGGCTACGAGGTGCAATTCGGCACCAACCACCTGGGCCACGCACTGCTAATCCAGAAGTGTCTGCCGCTGCTGCAGCGGACAGCGGAGGAGCACTCGGACGCGCGCATCGTCCTCCTCACCTCGCTGGCCTTCCATCTGCACCCCCGCGCCGGGATCGCCTTCTCCGACCTCAAGACCGTGCAAAATCTCCTCGCCTTTGGCGCTGGCCCCTGGATCCGCTACGGGCAGAGCAAGCTCGCTAATCTCCTGTATGCGCGTGAGCTGGCCCGTCGGTACCCCGCCATCACCTGCGTCTCGGTCCATCCCGGGGTGGTGAGCACGGAGATGGTCGAGAACCTGAGCTGGTGGAACCGCGCGTCAATCTATTTGACTAATATAGGTAAGGTGGTGAAGCCTGCGGAGGGTGCGTATACCCAGCTCTGGGCGGCGACGGCGCCGAAAGAGGAGTTGGTGAACGGGCAGTATTATGAGCCGGTGGGGGTGCCGGGGGAGCTTGATAGGGTTGCGCGTGATGATGCTTTGGCGGAGAGGCTGTGGGAGTGGACGGAGGAGGAGCTGGCAGAGTACATGACTAGATCGTCTGGGGTTCGTCAAGCTTCTTCTTAGCAGGATGGCCTCCTGCGTCAGGGTGCTTGGCCGTACAGTAGTTGATACATGGAAGAGGTGGTTTCAGGTGAGAAACGTCATGATTAATATGTATTTATATTTCATAGCCAGGGGAAGAGCCCTCAGTATGCTCTAAGTCCTTATATAAAATCACCACTTATGCTTTACGTATGTCAAAATGCTACAGATAAAACAGAGTATGTACTGTTGATCATTCTCTTTAATTGTGATGATTATTGCCGGCCGGATTCTATTGGCATCTACCCCGGTTCGTCTGAGCGTACCTTATCATTTGCGGGGTACAACAAAGATCATCAAGATTCATCCGTGTGTCGTCTCGAGGGCAAGAGACGCGTACGAACAAAGAACTGCGGTCTCAAAAGAATATATGATGACGACTCCATCTTTACAGCTGGAAGCATTGACCCGTCACGTCATCGCGACCATGATTTGCCCATCATCAACCAACCAATCGACTCAGTATCCAACACACTCACCAATCACTTTGGTCCTCACATTATCTAGAGCTACGGATAATTCTATATCGACATCACGAGTCAGTAGTAAGCATAGCCGAGCGGGTCGGGACTCGGCTCCAAACATGCTTGCTCACTCGCAACGCAATAGACAAAGGAATCAGCCGTCTGGGACTGGACGACCGGCACTAAACCGCGTGGCATCTGGAGTCAGTCACCTATCAGGATGTCGAAACGGCGGGATCATCCCCAAGCTTTCCTGTTCAGCGAGCTTCGTGTTGCGGGTGTGACACCGACACCGACACCTCAGATCACGCAACGGCAGGGATGATTGGCATGCAATGCATTGACCTTGCGTTTATGTTTACCTTGGTTATAAGTCAAGAGGCTCGTCGCTTTTTTCTTGCAGCTTGTCTCTGAAGTAAAGGTGAGCGACATGGGCAAAAGACTTGGCTTGCTTCGGGCCATTTATCTGGTGTCGGCCAGTTGCATGGGCTCGTTTGCCTTTGCGTTTGACACGGGTGTGATCAGTGCGTTGCTCCTATCAAGAAAAAGGAAAAACGGCCAGCTAATTGATAGGCGGCGTTCTCACGCTGGAATCCTTCCAGAAGGACTTTCGATACACTCAAGCGCAGAAAACCACCGTCAACTCAAACGCTGTGTCTATTCTGCAGGCCGGCGCGTTTTTCGGATGTTTCTTCACCACGCCGATAGCCTCGCGGCTGGGCCGCCGGACCGGGCTGATCATCAGCTCGCTGGTTTTTAGTCTCGGCACAATCCTGCAGGTCATCAACGCGCACACGCTGGGCACCTTTTACGCAGGCCGCGTGATTGCCGGGATCGGAATCGGGGCCGCGACGGTGCTGATCCCGATGTACGCGGCGGAGATGTCGCCCAAGGAGTTCCGCGGGCGGCTGGGGGCGTGTTTCCAGTGGTTCTTTGCGTGCGGCGTGATGGTCGCGTACTGGGTGACGTACGCGGTGTCCAAGGACCAGCCGTCGGCGACGAAGCAGTGGCAGATTGCGCTGGGGCTGCAGCTGCTGCCGTCGACGCTGCTGCTGGCGGGCATGTGCACGGTCAAGGAGAGCGCGCGGTGGCTGGCGGCCAAGGGCCGGACGGACGCCGCTTGGGATTCGCTGCGGTGGGTACGCGGCGGCGAGGAGACGCCCGAATTGCAGCAAGAGTTTGACGAGATCCTGACGGGGATCGAGGAGGAGGCGCGCGTGCGGGAGAGCTGGACCTGGCGCGAGCTGCTGCTGCCGGCGAATCGGTACCGGATCTTCATTGCCGTCACGATCCAGCTGTGTGCGCAGCTGACGGGCAACACCTCGCTGGCGTACTATGCGACGCAGATTTTCGCGGCGGTCGGCGCGGGCGCCTCGGCTAAGCTGGTGACGGGATTCTTCGGAGTGGTCAAGGTGGTCGGGGTCAGCGTCTTCCAGCTGTTTGTCATGGATCGGATCGGGCGCCGGGTCCCGTTCATGGTCGGCGCGGGTGCGATGGGCTCCTTTATGCTCATCATCGCGTGTGTGCTGGCGACGCACCCGACTAAGGCGTCGACGGGTGCTGCTGAGACTGGAGCGACGCACGCGGGCATCGCGATGATCATCATGACTTATGCCGAGGCGTTTAGTTTCAACATGTCCTGGGGCCCGCTGCCATGGCTTTACGTAGGAGAAATCTTCTCGAGTCGCACACGCGAGGTGGGAGTGACGGTGGGGGCGGCGTCGCAGTGGCTGTTCAATTTTATGATGTCGCAGGTGACGCCGCACGCGATTGAGAACATTGGATGGCGGATGTTTCTGATGTTTGCCATTTTCAACTATGCTATTATTGGGTATTCGTGGTTCTTTTTGCGAGAGGTATGTCTTTTCCTTCGGTCTCTGCTTTCCTCAGCTAATCCCGTAGACTTCTCGCCATTCCCTGGAAGAAATGCAGAATGTGTTTGGGGGAGGAACTCGGCAAAAGGGCCGCGACGACGAGGCGGAGCCTTCAGTCAAGACGGCTTGAGTCTTCGGTTCAGGAGGGTCTTGATTGGAGGAAGAAGAGCAGACTTTTTCTGTGGTTGAAGCTGCACGTAATGGTATCCGCTTATACTTTGGCTGGAGGTTTATAGTTCTGAACGTGGCGTAGCGGTTTCACATGCATTGCAGGCAGCAGAGAAGAAGAACCAGAATCATGTTTCGCTTCTTTGACTGACTCAAGTGAGAGTCGACTCTACTCGTGCGACTATAAAGATACTATCCACAAGGCTGAGACAGATCAGCAGAACAAATCGACACCAAACTCTTGACATTGTTCTTGCTATCCTCTCCAGTCTGCTCGTACACTAGATGCTCTGAACAAAGCAAAAAAGTAATACGAACGCTAAGCACGGTGCTATCCGTAAGTACCCTAGTACAACCAGACTAACTGCCAGGGACGGAGCCATTTGAGGCATTTACATTGGTTCTCCTCCCCGGACTCCCTTTCTCCGCAGTGGCAAAGTTTTCTTCGTCCCCGTTTCCATAGGACCGTTTTCCGTTCCCCCGTCCGTGGTCTTTGTGGTCTATTCATGATGCTTGACTATCCGATGCCGATCGATATTCAGTCAAGAAGGTTGCAGTCAAGTAGTCAAAAGTATCATGACAATGCACTTCTATCAAAGAAGTAACTATAGGAGACGGGCACAGACAGGCACAGACAGGCACAGACAGGCACAGACCTGTAGAGACTCGAGGCAGATAGCAAAGACCACCCTCTGGCTTTTGATTCTTCCAGACCCTGTTTCCGGGCCGGTTCCATGGTAGTTTTGCCTGAGAGAGTCGGCGGGGGAGATTGMCAGACCAATCGCGTAGATTATCCCCTGGACGGTGATGGTACCGATTGCTATGGCCACGGCTCTTTGACCTTTTCTTAACCTTTGGCCGGTGTTCTGCTATGTCCCCTCCCCGGGATTTGAGAGTTATTCCAGCCATATGGCTGTGGCATTATTATATATCGCCTCGTGGGTCGGGTCTCTTCGAATCTAGGGTCTAGACAGTAGCCGATACTTTTTACCTAGCTACCCCATATTCTCCAGTTTCACGATTCTGACCCAGATTTTGCACCCCACAGACCATTATATTTGCATTGTGTCCCACGACATCTTCTCTCACCTGCAGATCGCCTCCATTCTTTACCTTTTCTTTTCACCGAATACTCTCCGTTCTTTCACCGCTGCGTCCTTCCTTCCATTCTCCTGTTTATTTTTATTTTATTTGCCGCTTCAGCATGCAACTGTGACCAATGTCGGCATCGGATCGCATCTCGCGACCCACCAATCCCGATGGCCTCGTGCTTGAGGCATGGGGCCAGGGCCTCATGCTGGGCTGCCTGCTGGTCATGGCCTCGGTGACGTTTGTCAACATGAAGAAGCACATTCTGCTCCACAAATTGATTCTCCTGGAGTTGATCCTGGCCATGCCCAATGGGACCTTCATCTTCCCCAAAGACCCCGTCTACGGGTGGTACCAGAGCGTCACGGCCGTCGGGCTGAATGTCTCGTGGAGCTTGCACAATGTGATCGCCTGGATGAAGAACCGCCCGTTCATGTCGAGGAAGGTGTCGCTGTTCTATATCGGGACCGTGATCCTGGCGCAGCCCTACTGGGTGCTGGAGATTTATGCGAATTTTGCCTATTTCAACAACTACAACAAGATCTTTCTGACGACGAGGCCGCTCGAGCCTATCTTCCGGTTCGTCCTAGTACCCTATTTTTCGTAAGGTTGAAGCTGATTGAGTAGTGACCCCTGGTGGATCTTCACCACCTGCTCCCTCTTCTACACTATCAAACGCGAATACAACTTTGGGATCTTCGAGCTGGTCAGCGTCTCCCCGCGGTTTGGCATCATGCTGGCGTCCATGTGTCTCTCCATTGCTTTCATGATCGTCGATACCTGCAGCGTCCTCAACGTGTTTAGCCATTCGTCCTTGCCGACGGGCATCGAGCCATTCTGGAAGGTATTTTTCTCTGCCATTTCGTAAGGATTTCTGCTGACAGTACAGTTGTCGTTTATCTTCAAATGTCTCTGCGACACCGTCATTCTCGACGACTTCAAAACCGCTCTGGATCGTATGCGCGCCTACTGGTTTCGGAAACGGAACATGGGTGGCGAGATCCTGTTACATACCGGGGAAAATCACCCCCAGCATCATCGCATGGAGGGCAGTGGTCGGTTACGCCCGACGGACGAGGATATCGAAGCTCTGACTGGGAATGGAGGAGATGGGCGGAAATCGGAGTCACTCCCAAAGGTATATACGCGCGAGCATATCAGAGGATAGGAGTATGAGTATAATCAGTATAATGATGTATATACATACATGACATAATGAACATATTGAGTTCATGCATATCTCTAGAATATCGCCAGAGGGCCATAACCCAGATCCGGCAGCTTCTCACGTGCACCGCTGATGATGCAGGAACGATTAATTAACTTAATCTCAAACGAATTTAAGCATTCGAAACAGAAGCCGTCATTCTCCGTCGCAGTCCGTCGGCAGAAGAGCCGGCCTGACGAAACGCTGGTGTCGATCTTTTACTCTGTATGCTCCATGTTTCCAGTTGGCGACCCCCCGTTTGGGACTAGTGCTGTTGGTGGATCTGCCAAGTGCTGTTCCTTGCGCGGCTGGAATAAATATGATCTTCAAGTCTGATTCTTTTGTCAATCAATCTGTTTAACACCCTGATCAAAGATTTCCAGGTTCCTGATGAAAGTTGCGTCTTGCTTGGTCTAGTCTACGGCTGCTGGTATCTGCTTGCGCGTCCGGTTCATCAAAACCTTGGCGATTCCGCTCGCGGTCTGCCAATCTCCATCCACCAGGATCCATCAACCGGCTCCGGTGGAGATCATGATTCCGTGCAGGTGGACGATCTGATCGCGTGTTGATTTTGCTGTTGTCGGCCCCTGTAGATCCTCACCTCTGCCTTCAGCGCCATATCTACTTGCCTTACTACTGCCTGTTTGCTTTTTTCTGTTCTGTCCGACCTTTGTCACTCTTTGTATACATACACGTTCGTTCTGTCTTTAGTTTTGCCGCTGAAATGCCAGGCCGAGGGTTACTCAGGGTACTCACCGGATGCACCCTACTGTCGCTCGGTGCCGTCACTGTCGTGGCACAAGATAGGTGGCCGTACATGACCCTGCAGACTGCTCCGTACGAGCCTCCGCAGATCCAAATCACCAAGAGCGGCACCACCGACCCGGGCTATCTCTTTGTTGGCCCCCGTGGCAACCGGCCGGCAGGCACGGCGGCGTTGATCTACGATGAGGACGGCAACCTGGTCTACCAGGGCCCAGAACAGGTGACAGCCAATTTCCGGGTCCAGCGGCTGTTCAACCAGGATGTCATTACCTTCTGGGCCGGCAACATGACAGACCTGGGATTTGGATATGGCTCCGTCCACATTCTCGACAATACCTACCGGGAGATCTACACGGTGACCCTGCAGGGGGACTTTGAGACGCCGGACGACAGCGTGCCGGATTCGTACATTGACCTGCACGAGAGTCACATCTCGGCCCGCAATACGTTGCTGGTCACGGCCTACAACGTCACCCAGCAGTCCCTGACGTCGATCGGGGGGACGCCGGAGGATTACATGCTGGACAGTCTGTTCTACGAGATCGACATTGCCACCAATGAGGTTGTGCATTCGTGGAGCGCTCTGGAGCATGCTGACCAGATTGCCTTGACGGATTCCAAACAGGGGATTGACGATGATCATGGAACGCATGAGCAGCCGTGGGATGCGTACCATATCAACTCGGTGGAACTGTTTGACCAGGGGTACCTCATCTCTATGCGGCACTACTGGTCTGGGTATTATGTCCATAGCAATGGGACTGTCATGTGGCAACTTAGTGTATTTCGCCTTCCCCCCCGTTTATTCGTTTAGGTACTGACAAATTAGGGCGAACCGGGCAAGGGCGACTTTCAACTGGACCAGGCCGGCGCCTTCTCCTGGCAGCACGACATGCGCATCTACAATGAGACCCAAACCGGCATGATCCTGACTCTGTTCAACAACGCCAACACCCCTAGTGAGACTGTTGCGCCGTCGACGGGTCTGAGTTATGCAGTGGATCTGGTCAACCGCACGGCGAAGACTCTTCGTACGCTGGGCGACAGCAAGGACGCCATCCACAGCGTCAGTCAAGGCAACTACCAACAGCTGAGCCCGTCGGGGCATGTCGTGCTGGGCTACGGCTCTATTGCCAAGATCAAAGAGTTTGACGCCAACAACAAGGTGGTCCTCACGGCGCAGTTTGGCACCGACAACGAGGTGGCGTCGTACCGCGGGTATAAATGCGCCTGGAAAGCGACGCCGTTCTGGGCGCCAGCGATTGTGGTCCGTCGGGTATCCGGTAATTCCGCCCAGGTGTTTATGAGCTGGAACGGGGCAACTGAGTATGACAATTGGGCTGTCATGACGGCGGATTCGTTGGATTCTGTCAACCCTACGATTGTCACTACCTTTAAGCGCACTGGTTTTGAGACGTCTGGTACGGTCAGAGGGTTAAAGACGAAGTATCTCCAGGTGGTTGCTCGTCGGGGAGATATTCCTCTTGGCATGTCGCCTATTGTCAGTTTTTAGCACCATCTGTCACTGTACATATACATCACTTATTCACATACTATTAATAGATAGCATAGCGTGGACTATAGACTGTTACTCAATAATCCTACATGACTGCAATGCAGTAACTCGGTGTACAGTTGCACTATGGGTGTACCACATCGCAGCTCTACACTGTACTACAAGTAAACATGATGATCATGGCTGATACTCTAGCCATATAAACCTGGAGCCATCACCCCTTTCAACCTACCAACCACAACAACGCAACCACAGAACAGAATTGAAACAGGAACAGAATTGAAAATGCATCTCAACCTCTCCAGCCTTACTCTGACCCTCTGTCTCTCTCCCCTGGCTCTAGCCCTCCCACCCAACCCCATGAGAATGACCATGAAGATGACGATGAAAATAAGACCAACAAACCAAACCCTCGGCCACGCCACCATCCTCAACACCTGCCAGGACCCAATCTACCTCTGGTCCGTCGGCTCAACCATCTCCCCTCAATTCACCGTCCCCCCAAACACAACCTACACCGAGCCCTACCGCCGCGATCCCGCAAGCGGCGGCATCGCGCTCAAGCTCACGCGCGTGCAGAACGGGCTGTATACTGCTGCGCCGCAGATGGTGTTTGCGTATAATCTTGTGGAGAGGCAGATATGGTATGATTTGTCGGATGTTTTTGGGGATCCATTCCTCGGATATCCTGTCAAAGTTGAGTATCGGTCTGTGGATCAGGGGGAGGGACGGGATGAGGGGGATGAAGGAGATGAAGAGAAAGGGATTGAGTGGGTGGATGGGGTGTCGCCGGGGGGAAGTATGGTTAGGGTTGCGGGTGCAGAGGGGGATTTGGTTTTGACGGTTTGTTAGAGGTCCTCATGGAGTGTTCTATGAGATGAGATGGAGACGTGGTGGTGGTGGTGKTGGTGGTAGGAGGACATGCTGTTGGTGGAGGTGGGAGTGGATGAAGTGGTTTATGGTAATATCTTGTTCTATTTGCTGTTTTGTGCTACGCAGTAGTAATTCAATGTTGTCTCTCTGTAATATTGAGAACCTGGTCATGAGTAGCGAATGTTTATCTACAATGGGGTAACTTGTAGTCCCCACATTGGACCTCGGCATTTGTCTAAAACCAGTTGGGAGCGGAATACTATACATAATGCTAATGGCAAAATGATTGCTGTCACTTTGAGTAAATACTCACAAGTAGCTCACTCTACGACTGCATCTGAGCTGAAAAATAGATCAAGAATGCTATTCCTATTTGCCCGTTTGGCCGAGATTATCTTCTTATACTCCGAACCGTATACTTAAACGGATCATCGTAGATTGACATTCCTCGGGCAGAAGACCGAGGCTGACCGCAATAAATAATTGGAGATCCCCATTAAATTTCCCCGCACTTTGCCATCTCACTCCGTTGTCCTCTCACAACAATATCATCAACATCTACTCTTAAATACCTAATCAAGATGACTTCTATAAGAGTGGCGCCGTCAGCCGCCAACAGAGCCCTCAATCTCCTCCGCACAGTGCAATATACCCATCCTCCTTCCTGCCCATGCCACTCCAACCCCAATCACCACCATCACCTGCCATCCAACCATGTCCGCCGCCTGGCCACCCCCGTGGATCCCTCGCGCCAGAAAGAGTACGCCTTTGAAATGGCGGCCTCAAGTATCCGATTCGGACCTGGCGCGACAAAGGAGGTCGGCATGGATTTTGCCAATATGAAGGCCAAGCGCGTGTGTATCGTGACCGACCAGAACGTCGCCAAGCTGGATGCTATGAAACAAGCGGTGGAGGGCCTGACAAAAGAGGGTATCGAATTCACCGTCTATGACAAGGTGCGCGTGGAGCCAAAGGATAGCTCGTAAGTTGCAACTTGCATTTCTCCGAGTCAGACAACGCTAATTCCAGCAGAGTGAAAGATGCTATTGCGTTCGCAAAGCCTTATAACCCTGATGCCTTTCTGGCTGTTGGAGGCGGCTCGGTTATCGACACGGCCAAGCTGATGAACCTCTACACCGTCTTCCCCGAGGCCGACTTTCTCGACTTTGTCAACGCCCCCCTTGGCAAAGGCCTCCCCGTCACCAAGGCCCTGCGGCCGCTTGTCGCCGTCCCAACAACTGCCGGCACCGGTTCCGAGACGACAGGAACCGCCATCTTCGACCTCGTGTCGAAAAAAGCCAAAACCGGCATTGCTCACCGCAACCTCAAGCCCACGCTGGGCATCTGCGACCCGCTCAACACCCGCACCATGCCATCAGCCGTCCACGCCTCCTCCGGCCTCGACGTCCTCTGCCACTCGCTCGAGTCCTGGACMGCCATCCCCTACAACGAGCGCACCCCGCGCCCTACCAACCCCATCAACCGGCCCGCCTACCAGGGCGCCAACCCTATCTCCGACATCTTCTCGCTACAGGCCCTGCGCAGCACCGTCAAGTACCTGCCCCGCGCCGTCCGCGACCCGGACGACTTTGAGGCCCAGTCCCAGATGCTCCTGGCCGCTACCCTGGCCGGCGTCGGGTTTGGTAATGCCGGCGTCCACCTGTGCCACGGCATGAGCTACCCCATTTCCAGCCAGAACCCGGGCTACAAGCATGCGGGATATGACGTGGACCACCCGATTATCCCTCATGGTGTGTCTGTCGCCGTCACCGCGCCTGCCGTCTTCCGCTTCACGGCAGCATCAAACCCCGACCGGCATCTGGCTGCCGCTGAGGCCTTTGGCGTGGATATCTCAAATGTGAAGCGCGAGAGCGCCGGCGAGGTGCTCAGCGAGGCGCTGACCAAGTTTTTGGCCGAGCTGGGTGACCAGCCGCGTGGACTGAAGGATCTGGGCTTCAAGCATTCGGATATCGACTCGTTGGTTGAGGGGACGATCCCGCAGCAGCGGGTGTTGATGCTGGCGCCGAATCTTAGTGCGGAGCTGGAACGAGAGAGGGAGGAGCTGAGGGGGTTACTCGAGCAGTCGATGGAATATTAGCTTTCTTGTACATAACAAAGAATGCATTCTATAACGCCTACTCCATACTATGCAGCCAAATATACATGATACAATCTATATGCTTCAATCCTCCCAGATAATCCTCAATCCAATCACCCCCATCGAAGACGCCACCCGGTCCAGCCAGGTGACAGGCAACGCCTCGCTCGACGCACTCGACACCCCTCGTTGAAACTMCGACTCCAGCCGGAACCCACGTCCTCGTCCGCGTCCGCATCCAACCCGAAGCCAAACCAGCAGGCTCTGCAGCGCAGCCACCATATCTTCCGCTCCTTGTAGCAGGAGTCCCGGCCCTGTCTCCCGGCCAACATCTCCATTCCCCAGCACCGCCCGCAACTCTTGAACCAACCGAACCAGCCGGCTCCTCGTCGCACGCACCCTGGCGACCAACCCCTCATCCACCTCACCCTCACCCTCATCCTCCGGGAGGTCCTCCGGCAACGCCTCCGCAAAATACCGCGGACACCGCACAACCTCCATCCAGATCCGCTCACAAACATCCACCACCCTACCCTGCTGCCCCGCCTTGCGCGCATCCTCGGCACGGATCCGTCCCGCAAACCGCAGCCACGGCTCCTCGTCCAGGAAGCACGCGCGCCCCTCATAGATGGCGGTTGCGACGAGGAACCCGCGGAAGGCGATGTAGCAGCCGCGCGCGAAGCCGGGGCCTTCACCTTCGCTGCCGGCGGTAGGCGGTTGTTCGTCGGGGCTGCCGCCGGTGGTAGTGTGTTCGTCGGGGCTGCCGTATCCGTCGTCGGCTCCGGCTTCGGCTTCGGCTTCGCCTCCGGGAGGCCCCCTCGCTAGCATAATCCTCCGTACACCATCAACGTGCACGACAAATGCATCTGGCGATGTCCGTGCGTACATCTCGTATACGGCGAGCATCATGATGGTGGCTAAAAGCGGGGCGGACAGTGCAGCGGGGGAGTGCAGTGCCGCGACAACGTGGGTGAGGGCCTGCGAGTACAGCTGGCGGCTGTGACGGGTGTGCTGGGCTGGGTCTGGCGAGAACCGAGCGGTGTAGATTGATGTTAGACAGGCGAGGGTGGCGGCGAGGTAGGGGGCTTCGCCGGAAGCGTAGGAGGAGGCGACGTGCGCGAGGAAGTCGGGGCGGTTGTGGGCGCGGAAGATGTTGGAGGTATAGAGAGTTGGGAAGGCGGAGTGCAGAAAGGAGGCGAAGAGGTGTGGTTGTTGCATTTGCAGCTGCATTTGGTGTTGGAGCTGGGCTTGGGCTTGTGAGGAGGAGCAGCAGGAGGAGTCCTCTGAGCGGGTCTGGCGCATCATCGCGAGGGCGTTGTTGCGCACGGCGGTGGCGGCAGCAGCAGCAGCAGCGTCTGCGTCTGCGGTTGTCTCTGAAGGTCTGCGAGACTGGGAACGGGACTGATGCCGTCGTTGAAGTGCCGGACCCTCATCCTGGAAGCGAAAGGTGCGGCGATAGCCTGGACATGGGCGGCCGTATTTCCGGCATTGCGAGCATTGGGGGACAGCCTCGTCGCACTATCTTGTCAGTCGTTGATAAGAGAGTAGGAGTAGAGATACTGACCTTGATGCGCCTTTCACGGCACAGAGCGCAGCCTGTGCTATGGGGGACTCCGACCATGGTATCTTACAGTCCAGCCAGTTGATATCTTACACTCACGGCCAGCGTGGATCAACAGTCGACAACGATCTATAGTTGCTCGAAAGAAAAACGCTTGGAAGACGACAAGAAAGGAATGTGTTGAAGGAGTGTGTTTGTGTGTGTGATTTTGGCAAACTCAATCACATCGAGACGAGCGACCTTATCTATCTCATCTCCGTAGCTGAACAGGTGCAGAAGGGCCCCAACCGGCTGAACTAAGTACGAGCACCACGCGAATGACGTTCAGACGGACAATCGCCATTTGAGGACTCACCGTTAGCCTTTTTTTTTGGATCTGCATCTCGACCGGACTGTTGAGCTATGATGATCATGCAAGAGCCACGAGGTGCCATGCCATGCCATGGCCCATGGCCCCCACGGTTCCTGACGTCGTCTCGAAGCAGACTCATCGGGTGTACTCCGTAGAATTTCTTGATGCTGAGCAGCTAGCTGACTCGTCGGCTGTCATGGTCTTTGGCGGACGCTGGTATAATTATCCATCACGAACGAATAGCTGCCCAGCAAGCATGGGGGCCATGACAGACAATCAAGATGAGGTCAAAATGAAGTCAAACTCTCAAACGGTAGCTTGATGGAATCCGAACTGAACAGGTTCGGCTAGTGATTAAAATAGTATCATCTCGTAGTGTATGCGTGATGATTGGCGCGTTTCTCGGTGCGGCTCTGGATAGACGGGATATACGAGCCTGCATCGATTCTCTGGTGATCTGTGCTTTGCCTTTTTTGGAGTTGCACTCGTGAAACAATCGCCAAAATCCAATGTCATCAAGGTCAAACACGACGATGACCCACTCGGCTCGTGTTCGTCAGTATCCGGAAGTACTCCTCGTATGATGAATGGTAGAGTGCTTACCCTCTAATATTAACCGTTTCGTGCCCATATTGACTAGAATAGCAACACTCGTACCCCGCATGTCTTCATTCTTTCATTCTCTAGTGAGCTGCAAAAGGAAATGACTCGATCGGTCATTCTCCGTGGTCAAACTCAAAGAGTTAGCAAGTTTGTCGAACGATAATGACACGTTAGTCCATAAGATATGTCATCTATCTCATCTCTCAAGTCTCCAAAGAAGATCAATCAATTCAGCGGCAAGCTCGACAAAGACAAACATCAGATGACACGAGATAAAAGCAAAGAGGGATAATCTACCTCATTGTGCAAGATGATACTTGACATCCACGAATCACACACACGCCATCCCGCAACCCCGCAGTCTCACAATGTACTCACCTTGAGCAAATTAACCAGTCTGTCAATGATTGGCACGGGGAACAGATACAGACATGAGCTTGCAATAGGGCACGATGCTATTGCCTCAAGGTATGCCTCTTGTTATTGGGTTACAGACATTCGTGGCGTCTCTAGCCCAATTGCTGTCAATGTATCAGTCTGGCTAATGCATTCCCTCGACAGAGTCAATTGATTCACAGTCTCATTGAGAGGTCATATATAAAGCTCTAAGTTTTAACCTCTGGTCTTTCTCATTACAACCCTGATGAGTCAATCCGGCCAAACGATCATGCCCTCTGCCAAAAATCCCACTCCCAAAGTTCTTGTGCCGGAAAAACTCTCGCCAGATGGATTGGCTCTCTTGCGTGCGTCACTGGAAGTAGACGAGCGAAAGGGTCTCGATGCGGATGAGCTTCTCAAGATCATTCCGGACTATGACGCTCTAGTCGTCCGGTCTGAAACGAAAGTCACGGCTACTCTCCTTCAAGCCGCCAAACAACTCAAGGTAGTTGCCAGAGCGGGAGTAGGAGTGGACAATGTGGGTGAGTTAGCCAGGCTTGACTCGTACACCCTTGAGCAACGACTATTGACACGCTGACGGCTTCAGACGTCGAGGAAGCCACCAAGCTAGGCATCGTCGTCGTCAACTCGCCGTCGGGCAACATCGGCGCTGCCGCAGAACATACCATTGCCCTGCTGATGGCCATGGCGCGGAACATCCCCGAGGCCTGCAGCAGTCTGAAGAGCGGCAAATGGGAACGGAGCAAGTTTGTCGGAGTCGAGGTGAAGGGCAAGACCTTGTCGATCATCGGTTTGGGGAAAGGTGAGCTTTCTGCATTTTGGGAGCGAGGCATTATTACTCTATACGGTCGAATGTATGGCTGACTGACAACAGTCGGCTTGACGGTCGCACGGCTCGCCAAAGGGCTAGGTATGAACGTCAACGCCCTCGATCCGTATGCGTCCCCTGCCGTCGCCGCGTCGGCGTCGGTCACCCTGGTCTCGTCCCTGTCGGAGCTGCTGCCCACGGCGGACTTTCTCACCATCCATACGCCGCTGATCGCGTCAACCAAGGGGATGATCTCGACGGCTGAGCTCGCGCAGATGAAGCCCGGCTCTCGCATCCTCAACGTCGCTCGCGGCGGCACCATCGACGAGGCCGCCCTGCTGGAGGCCCTGGAGTCGGGCCACCTGGCCGCAGCCGCCATCGACGTCTTCACGTCTGAACCTCCCCAGCCGGACTCGACTGCCGCTCGGCTGATCGCCCATCCCCGCGCTGTCGTCACACCGCACCTCGGCGCCTCCACGGTCGAAGCCCAGGAAAACGTCTCCATCGACGTCTGCGAGCAGGTCCTCCAGATCCTAAACGGCTCTCTCCCCCGGAGCGCAGTCAATGCACCCCTCATCCTACCCGAAGAATACCGCAAGCTGCAGCCGTTTGTCCGGCTCGTCGAGAAGATGGGTAGCCTGTACACGCAGCACTACGCCTCGACCGTGGGCGGGTCCATGACGCGCAACACCTTTGATCTCATCTACCACGGCGAGGTGGCGGGCATCAGCAACACGCGGCCGCTGTTCGCCGCGCTGATCAAGGGCCTCCTTGCCCCGATCAGCAGCTCCGAGGGCATCAACATCAACATCGTCAATGCCGAGCTGGTCGCGCGCGAACGCGGCATCTTCGTCAATGAGCAGCACTCGCGCGATCCGGCGGATCATTCGTACTCGTCTCTTGTGACGCTGGTCGCGAGGCCGCCTTCGCGCGCCTCATCCCGTGCGCCTGTGCCGGAGGCAGCTACCTCTCAGGCCGGCCCCCTCATACAAAACCAGCGCATCATCTCGGGGACGTGCAGCGGCGACCAGCCGCTGATTAATCGGCTGGGCCGGTTCGAGACCTCGTTTGTCCCGGAGGGAACGCTGCTCATCTGCGAGAACTACGATTCTCCGGGGAAGATTGGGGCGGTGGGGAGTCTCCTGGGGCAGGAGGGGGTCAACATCAACTTTATGACGGTGGCTCCGGTTTCAAGGAAGTTTGTATCCGAACCTGACGGAGACTCAAAGTCGAAGCACGAGGCCTTGATGATCCTGGGGATCGACAAGGTGGTGGACCAGCGAGTGGCTGATGGGCTGGTCAAGGGCGGAGGAGTCTTGAGCGCGAGTGTCATTTCTCTTTGATCAGACTGCACCTTGAATGGCAAAAATTCGTCCTGTGATCAATAGATCAGTTAATCTATTGTGGCAGATGACCTGTCAGTGTTGATCTGCAGTCCCCGCATTATGCATATCACATTCAAGTCTAGTCTACATACCAGAGGTAAGGGTAAGGTAGATAAACAATGCATTCCCTTCATCATGAATCACATCAACTTCACATCAAGAATAATCATTATCACATCATAACCATAGTATCAAAATATCAAAATGAAAACACCACTCATCCTGCCCCTGTTCTCAATAACACTCACCTCCGCAACAGCAAAGACCCTCCAATCCCCCCTCGACCACCCCAACACCAACAATGCCGTCAACAATGCCATAAACAACAACATGAAAGCAGGCAACCCCGTATTCCCAGGCTGGTACGCCGACCCCGAAGCCCGCATCTTCAACCAAGGATACTGGATCTACCCAACCTACTCGGCCGCCTACGAAACCCAAACCTTCTTCGACGCCTTCTCCTCGCCCGACCTCCTCACCTGGACCAAACACCCCCGCATTTTGGATTTCGGGAACATCCCCTGGACCACCAATCGCGCTGCCTGGGCGCCGTCCGTGATTCGTCGGCCTGCTTCTCCTGCCACCACTACCAATGGCAGTAGAACATCCACAKGAAAAAGGGACAATGGGTATGAGTACGATTACTTTATGTACTTCTCCGCAGGGGACGGGGCAGGGATAGGCGTTGCGAGATCAACAACAGGAAGACCGGAGGGCCCCTATGCGGATGTTCTTGGGAAACCGCTTATCCCGAAGACAGTGTTTGGCGCGGAGCCGATCGACCCGCAGGTGTTTGTTGATGATGATGAGCGCGTGTGGCTGTATTTCGGGGGGTGGAGCCATGCGGTGGTGGTGGAGTTGGGGAGTGATATGGTGAGTTTGAAGGGGGAGTATTCGGAAATAACCCCCAAAGGGTATGTCGAGGGGCCGTGGATGATGAAGAGGGAGGGGGTATATTATTTTATGTTTAGTGTGGGGGGGTAAGTTGCACTTCTTCCTTGGATGGAAGCATAGCAAGCTGATGGCGACAGATGGGGAGATGATTCCTATGGAGTGAGTTACGTTACTGGGCAGTCGCCTACGGGCCCGTTTACCACAGAGCCGATCAAGATTCTCTCCGGGAATGCGACGGTCGGTACCGGGACGGGCCATAACAGTGTGTTTACGCCGGATGGACAGGACTACTATATCGTCTACCATCGGCGGCCGGTGAATGACACCGAGCGCGATCACCGCGTGGTCTGCATCGATCGGATGGAGTTTGATGCAGAGGGAAATATCCTGCCGGTGGTGATTACGACCGAGGGCATAGATGCAAGGGCATTGAATCAGCCTGTCTAGCGTATATGCTTGAGCTTCATGAGTATCAATAGTGCTATTGTATACCTTTTCAACACCAAACTCCAGTAATGCATGGGTATCATATCAAAACATCGAGCTGCGCTTTTTATGCAACTTTGAATCGTCCGACGACCGTCGGAACCCAAAGAAACTACTCTTTTTCGGCTGTAGCTGCCCCTGTACCTGTCCCTGCCCCTGTGGCCGCGGCGGCTGCACAAAATGCACCGTCGAGTGCGGTCGAGGCGCAGCGACAGAGCCAGGCGCATGTGGCCGCGAAGTCGGAACTGGCCCCGGCACCAGATGCGACATGGATGGTGTCTGCTGATGATAGTAGTATCGCGGATGCGGTCGCGGAGGGGGATGCGGTTGCTGCTGCCGAGGAGGTGGCTGAGGACGCGACGGCTGCGCAGGAGGACGCGCAAGGTTCAGGGTGCTGGCACGCACCTGCTGCTCCTCGCGGCCGTAAATCTTCTGTAGTCGAGCAGTCTCCTTGTCGATTTCGGCCTGCCGCTTGCGCCGAGCCTTCTCCTCTTCTTCTAGCCTTTTCTTGGTCCGTTTCTCCTCCTCCTTGCGCGAGAGTTCTTGCTTTTTCTTCTGTTGCTGCGTTGGAGCTGGGGGTTGAGCCACTGCTGGACGTGAAGGTGCAGGCTGTTTGCCGTTGGCTTTTGTATTCGAGGCTACCGGCGCAGGCTTCTGACTGTGCGAGACCGTACCATTCTGGGGCATTGTACTGGCACTGACGTTGACAGCACTACCTGTTGGACCAGCCACAGGCTTCCTTCCCACCTCCTCCCTCACAATTCGAAACGTGTCCTTCATCGGGGTAAAGTAGACATCGCGGATGGTCACCGCTCCCAGCAAGAGCACAACCTCCAGGCCCTTAAAATCCTCCATCTCAACCCGGTACAGGTTCGGCTCGTACAGCGTCAATTCCCGCAGCGCCTTGAAGATCGACAGCGTGATATCTGGCTCCTTGCTCTTCGCCTTCCCCTCGGGCAGCGTCGACGTCTTCCCAGACAGCAAACACGTGAGATCCTTGGACAACTTGCTATCCTTGCGCCAGCTGAACCGGAGTTTCGGGGTCGTGTCCGCCAGAGCCGGGTCGGTCAGCGTGCGGTCAAGCGTCGAGGCCGACGGCTGCCGGAACGTGTGCTGCGGCATCTCGAATTCCCACGTTGCCGACGTATTCCACGTCTTGTGCTTGTAGCGGATCGTCACCTGCTGGTCCGGGTTGTACAGGTGGACGATGAACTGCGAGGGGAGAATGGGTTCTGGGGGTGGCGTGACCCCGCCGTTCAGGCGGATCGCCTCGGGGGATAGACTGGGTTGCGTCCATTCCGGGATGATCAGGATCTCGCCGTAGACGACATCTGGCACGAAAGGATCACAGAGCGCGACGGCATAGCGGTTCTTGGAGGRGGGGGRGGCGGGGTCGGGGTAGCGGAGGGTGTAGGCAGGTTCGGGGTCGTCGCCGTGCTGGCAGAGATAAATAGTCCAGAGGTGCTTTTGTTGGTCATTTGGTTTGAGATAGAAGGCTGTCGTCGCCAGTCAGCAGTCAGTCTTCAAGATATCTTGGGGAATGTGTGAATGACGTACTGGGAAGGTTCTCGTCAAGCATTGTGCGTGGATATCGCTACGGCGTGAACATTCAATGAGAACCGCCGGACTGCAGTATTTGAGACAATTCAGCCATTGATTAATGGCCAAGCGTTGAAATATACCACTGATGGAAAGAGGAAGAGGAGTTGTTTCAGAGGTGCCTGGTGATGAGCCTGAGGCTTGGTGCTCTGGGGTACTGCCGCTATTGCGCCACTGGATCCGCACCTAAAAATAGCGCATGTTCATCTTCTTCTTTACTTGTCTCCCGATAGCTTATAGATACGTACGCAGTTATCAAGCTTACGGAACGTTTCGACTCGCCAAATAGGCAGATATATTAACCAACTCTATCTAACTCTATCTAACACTTGTCTGCAGATACTAACTGTTCCTATCCGAAGCAGTGACTGAACGATGATAGGCTGGTTTGTCTATACTACCGTCTCACCATCGTCCATCCGTGTATCATATCCGCCAATGAAATAGGCAGAACTCAACTGGATCTAGCCTTTTGCACAAAACAGCAACCTAAGTTATATAGTAATCTGACAGGTCCTCTGAACATGGACTATCCAACTCTACTAGCCGTCAGAAAACATTCCGACAATTACGGGACAGCAAACAGAGTGGAAACAAACGTGCTCGCGAATATGATTGTGACAAAACGGATCTACATAGAAAATAAGGTCAATCTCGTTGCCTTGAGCACTGCCTCGAAGCATGGGTGAAATCTGCCTCGTGGCTCAGTCCACCGCTACAGAACAGGATCGTGCCATTGGGCTATTCTATCGTGCCCTGCGTCTTAGCTCAAATTGAAGGCAGTCTAGGTGGAGGCTGGTGCACCTAACCCTTGTTTATGCGTTTACTGGAGTTACATTGAGCTTGGCCCAGGTTCTGAGGGACTCCATGGACTTGAATGTATTGGCAGAGGATCTCATTGTTGAGCGAATAATTGGTCGATGAAATGCATGATCTCTCCACGCTGGTTGTCCTGATTTCCTGTCTTCCTGCCCTGATGGACCTCGAATTCACTCCCTCAGACTAATTCACTCCATCATCATGGGTTGTGATATAGCGACATCGTTGGACGCGTGGCCCGGGGTAAATTAGTGTTTCAGACCCTGCTCTTGGTCTCTCTCAAGGAGGTACCGTGTAAACAAGGTCAACCCAAATGGATGCAGGCCGGCTTGGTCATAACAGGTGTCTAGTAACTGGTCAGTCTCGTCCACTCTGGGGCGTAAAATCCTAACCTTTGCGGTAGATGAATAGTGCTTTGTAATCTCCTGTTCCAGCTCCTCCTGGCACCTTCCAATGTTCGGTATCGCTCGAAAGCAGCCTCTGCCGGAATCATGGCGTTTGCCCTATATCCAACGTCCTGGCGTACACCAGTAACATCTCGCTCATGTAAATGGGTAGGGATGAACTTATTCGGCGAGCGTCTCGCCTCTCGAGTCTCGCGTCTGTAGTGTGGCCCTCGTGAAATAAGTGAAAGCAAAGCCTATACTCCGTAAGCCATACATCTGTGTATACGGACGTACCTGAAGTCGAGTCTCGAGTCGAGTTGATACACTGGAATGATGTCGTCAAACCGCCGAGTTGCCGTCCTGATCAAGATTAGCTGTCGCCTTTTGAGGAGGAGGGTTCGAGACTTAGGAGAATCATAATGTATTGGCGCCGTTGTCTCACTAAGTTCAACAATTATATCCCATCTTGAGAGTTGACAGCGATCCTGTTTCCGTTAGCAACTGCCGGGTTGGGGTCACTTACTAGACTTAGCTGATATCCTGAAGATCGATCACAGATATGCAGAATCCTGAGAACCAGACATTAGTATTTGCCTGCCTTTCCGGAACGGGCTCACCTGTTCGATGCTGCTCTGGTAGAGTAAAGCTAACTGGGTCCGTCTCTGAGATGAATCTGGAGAAGGCTCTGGCTGATTGCAAAGGTACGCAGCTATCGATATTCTTATAGACGACGGCTCACAATGAACGACTGACTAGAATGCAGCCTTTGTCGCTGTCTTGGTGTTGCGTTCGTTTGTTCTAATCTGGTCGACTCGGCGAGCTTTGTACTTTTGTCTCTCAGCACATAATGGCTATTGTTCGAGTGTTGCAAGTATGTCTCCAATCCACGGAAATCTTCCATGAAGAATCGCAATCGCATCGAGTCCAATCATCGATGCGATCTCGAACCTTGTTCCCTGTCGGGGGCATGGATGTGAAACGGCTGCCTTTGTTGCGTTGGTTATTGAGAACCCCGGCTTTGTTCGATTCAGCCGCAACCCTTGAGATCGACTCTTTACTTCCCTCATTTACATTCAGGTGAAACCTCTGAACCAATGGATTGCTTTCTATCTTGCATCTATTTTCGTCTAGATCTATCTTCAGTCCAAATTTCATGGCGGAACTGACCACCGGCCAGTGCAAGTCCACCCAGAGTCTCAGACTCTGACACCCTCGACCTCTTTGCCCTCTGGAACCGTGGCGTGTTCTCGCTCGGCCGTGCTCAGTTGCAAGCCCTGGTCATCCCATCCTTGTGTGCCGAGCTTGTACAATGTCCTTTGTCTCTCACGATCGAGCATCGGGCCGTCCTTACCACGGCGATGGCGCGATTCCACTGTCTCAACCATTGTCGCATTCTCGCCGTCTAAAGGATAGCCTTCCAGGTCATCTTTGTGTGTCTCGTCAGAGAAGGCGAAGGTGCGGTATTCCGTGTTGCTCCAACCGGTTCCTTGCAAGCGTCAGTCACATTGTTTCCTTCCCACCTGAAGACGAGGACAGGACATACCCTGGTATTGACTGCTATCCTCCCAGTCCTCCGTGAAATAGTGCAGGAAGCCACCGTGCGTGACGACGATGATCTCCTTCTCCGGTCTCGCCTTCAACCAGCGTCGCGCCGCACGCGCCCGTTTCTTGATCGCCTCGTTGGTCGGCGCATAGTGGCCCGTCTGGAGCCGTCAGTCTCCCTTCTCCATCACAAATCGAAGGGATAAAACCTTGCTATTCCATCCGTCCTGCACTAAACTCATGTCCACAGGGATTCCCTTCTCCTCCATCTCCTTCCGCAGAACCTCCGGGTCACTCCCCGTATCGCAGGGAACGTCACTGGTCTCTTGCACATCCGGCAGCAGCACGATCTTCATATCCTTGTGCTTCTCCAACACGGGCTGGAAGCTCTGGTATGCAGTGTAGATGGTCCGTCGGAGAGGTGACGCGGTGATCAGCTCGATCCGATCATGGAAAGGGAAGTTGTCGCGAAGAAGGCGACATTGTTCGTTTCCGAGGTCGGTCAGGGAGGGATCGTGGATGACGTGGTTCGCTGTGCTGAGGTTATGGACGCCCTGATGGTGTGGTTAATTTCGAGTCCGTAGGGAGATGTCTGCAAATGAGAAACATACCTGAGCATGGCGAACACAGTGGACAATGGGCGGCATTTTCAAAGTCTAATCAGATATCTAGATAGAGAGGCACAAGTTAGGACATAGAAGCGTGGGGTAGCGGGGCAATCAAGATAAATCCTAGCATTCACACATACCTATCGCGAGCGCAGACAAAGCAAATTCATGAAATATATGAAAGAAAAACGGGGAAGATTGTGAATCTGAATTCGGGGAACTTGGAGAAGACTTAAATCAGTAAAATTACTGTTTGTTGCGACTGGTTGAGTCAATCCCGGAGGACACCGCACCGTGGGGGTGATGTTGAATATGACTGGACAACAGCAGGATCTTCACTCTTATATATAGAATCTCTATACGAAGCGTAATAGCTCGTCTATGTACGAGAAGAAAATTTTAACAAGATAGTGAAGAAACAGACTAATCAACCCCGGAGATCAGAGAGGGAGCAATCATGGCAAATCCTGCCTTTCCATGGCAGCAACGTCATTTGTCGGGGGAAACTTGTCCGAGGACAGGCAGGCAAGTTTGGCGAATCGCCTCACAAGACACGAGCAATGGAAAGAGAACAGTGAGACTGTAATGGGCACTGTATAGGCCCTTCATGAATATGATCGTATTATATACAGCTGGATCCCGAAATTCGTTCTATCCTCCCATGCACCGTGGCCACGAGTGGCGCTGCAGTGGTGTACGCTATATCACAAACCAACCCTACGGAGGGCATTATCTAGCAAGCGAACATAAAAGTTTGCTGGCAACTATCAAGCAACTCCAAATCCCCGAGCATTTTCAAGAGCTTTATTAAGCTTCTCCTCCAAGACACTCTTCGATGAGTATTCCGGCAAAAGTAGTCGACCAAAACAGGTCAAACTGGTCGGAAGGCGCTGGAGAAATATCAGTCTGATAATGCGGCCGAAAAATCGAGCGAGTACACTTACAGCATCACCCACACCGTTTCTCTGGATAACAAACATGATGCTCGCAATACCGTTCACAGGAACACGATCACTGGCCGTGACAAACTCCAAAAGCTGCGCCTTCTTCTCTGCAGAGAAGCCCTTCACAATGCTCCAGAAATCTCGGATGACTCGGTGATGGGGCCCGAAGCCACCTTCATATCGGGCATGGCGTTCCAGTTCTCCCAGGTCAATCTCCTGAATTCCTTCCACGACCGTCTTGAAAGCCTCCGGCGTAAAGATGGACAGCGCCGCTCGGTCTAGACAGGTATAGAATCCTCGCGCAAACGCCTCAAACTGGGGTCTGATCGATTTGTCAGTAAGCCAGAATATGTAGTCCTTGACGAACTGAGCACGATTCTCATTCGTAACAAGGGAAGCTTCCTCAACTGGAGGCGTCGGGACGCTGTGGTCAAGACGCTCTGACGTGCTCCGATGCGACGACCCGCATGCGAGGAATTCCGCATGGTCCGCAGCCATAGAGCAGGGAGGACTCAGATCTGCGGGATCAGCATGCTGTGACAGCTCCGACCAGTTCGTTGTGAGATCCAACGCCTTGCCGCGACCCCTTGCCCGCGAGGGCCATACAGCGTCTCTGTCAACCTTCTCCATGTCAACCGTTTCGACGGCGCCAAAGGCTTCGAAAGTGAATTCATATGTTCGCATGAACACATCTCCTACATCGCCCTCCTGCCATGATAATAATAACTCGAGTCCTTTCGCAAGCTCCGGCCAGCCATCTCGGATATGCTCCAAGTGTTTTACTTTGAGTCCGAGCAGCTTGCGGTAGAAGGCGACCGGAAAGTTAATCGGTAATGTCAAACCGTTATAGATTGCAAGCGACATGAGCAAGCCCAGGAGCTCAAATTTGTAGAGAGGTTCCAACGAACAAGGCTGGAACCACGAAATACGGGTTCGCGCGTCCATTGTGAACATACCATACGATGGATCCAGAGCTTCTGCCATGAGGACTCGGAAAAACTCTTGCTGAACACCGCCATGATCGAGGCCTTCCTCACCTTCGTCCATACCCATCTGCACTTTCAGTGGACGCATCAGCTCTCTTCTCTCCCGCCGCCAGAGCTGGTTAAGAGCATCGGTGAGCACGTTATCACGGCGGACCATGAGAACCAGATACGTAGACATCGATGTCTTCATTTGTGACAACAGCATAACATCATCTTGTATGGGAATCGGTCCAAATGCGGTCTGGTTCACATGTCTTGAGGTCGTCATGGCAGCTTCGTAGTACTTGGACATGGCAGCGTAGTTCAGGGCGCGGAAATAAATGACGAGTGCTGAAGGAGGAAAAAGGAACGAATAAGAAAGCAGATGCAACGTTTTGTTATTGGTCAACCTTCCGAGCCATTCCACAGGCATATCCAGAGGCTCCAACCGCTCGCAGAGGAACGGGGTGTGGAAATCTTCCGGGACCAACCCCAAGCGGTTTCGCTGCTTGTACATTCGTGATAGAATCTCCACGACGCCTCCAGCGGAGCTGCTCCGTGATATCTCAGGATTACCATCCCATTCTTTCAGGAAAAGAGTCCGAAGCCATTCAGCGATAATAGCGGCAGCAGATGGTGGGAGTTCAGCGTGATCTGACTCGTCTGTTCCAGCTCTTACAAGACTGTAATGGTCGCCCAGGTTGTTCATCAGAAGATCCAGGGCGCTTTCTTGTCTCTTCTTGGAGGAATCCTGGAGGCAAGGATGACGCGCTTTCGATATCTCATAAAATGCCAAGCGCGCGGTAAGAGCACGCACCAGGCGGTTAACTAATCGCAAAGCCAGCTCGTGCTCAAGCTTGTCAGTAAGCTCGATAACGGACCGCGCCTTTGCTGGAGAGAGTTTTTCCATGTCTGCACTCGAAGCTACAGTCCCTAGGGCGCGTATTTGAAGCAGCGAACGCCATGTGTGCGCATCAACTTGCGGAAGGCTGCTAGTGAGGGCAAAGAAGGCAACGGTTGCAATATCTGCCGCGTTAGCATCAGCCAAATGTTCTTGGCCTTCGAAATCAGATGTTCGCCGACCGATTATTGGACCAGATGACGGTCCGTTGAAGGAGGAACGGCGTGATAGACGGCCAGGCATTGAGAGCTCTTTCGGTGGCATAAACAGCGTCTCCACGGCGCGCCACAGGCTATGGAGAGCAATATCCCAGGGACAGAAAGTGAAGAGCTTGCTCAGTGATGGTTGTAGCTGCTGCAAATCAAGCTTCGAATTCGAGTAATCCTGCTCCGGGCCAGCCGCCTCTTCTCGAAATGAACGAAGAATCTGCTTGGTTGAACCCAGTGCGTAGAATACGCTCTGAGCAAGGAATATATACACTCGACGCTGGCGGGTTGTTGCAAACTGCCATTCTGGATTCTCAAAGTTCCCTGTAGATTCCATGTAATGCAGCTCGTCCCTCCATCTCTGCGCTTCATCACATTGGACCATCATTCGCGCCAGCCCGTCAATGATTGCGCCATTTAAGTGACTTAGCGTTTGAACTGCCAGCGGTCGTTCCAACTTTTGATCAGAACTTTTGGATTTTGATTGGTCATCGTTCGACGATTGTGTTTCCAATGCCAAGTGATCGTCTCTAGTTGCCAGCGGCTTTTCGGCATCCTGGTTTTGGATGTCATTTAAGAATTTCGCACTATCCCACGACACCCGCCTCTCCTTCTTCCGCTGTGTCTGTGTAAAAGACTCATCAAGATGTTCATTTCTGCCGCGATGCTTTTGCGGGCGATGCTTCAATGCCGGCGGCGACGGTATGTTGACCGATCCGTCAGTCTCAAGGTGCGAATTGTAAGAGAGCTTGCGGCTCGGCCTTAATTCTGGCCGCGCCTTTGCCTCTTTGACGGTGCGCGGGCTTTGATGATTCTGGTCTGTTTCAATCAAGGATATTCGTCTCACTTGGTGCTCGGGTTTCGATTCAAATCGGGGGACTCGTCTACCTGCCTCCCGAGACGATGGAGTATGAGGAGCAACCCCCGGCGACTTATTTTGCAAGTTTGCACGTCGCCTTGCGCACGTAGATCCCGTTGTAGTATTGGAGTGTTCGCAACCCCCGCGTTTGGGTGACCGAACGTGTTGCTTACCCAAACGATCTGCATCTGAATCCAGCACGTCTGGTGACCGCCGTAGAGGGAGCCATTCGACCATTCGTAGCGAGAGGGTATCAAATAGGTTCTGTGTAAAGGATTTCGGGTCTTTCATCCGTTGCGTCGCGGATTCGTCGTCAACTGGTGCGGGCTCATTTTGCTGTCGCGGTTCCATATACGATCCTGGCTCTATTTTGGTGTTGTCAGAGGGCTTCGCAGACGCCGTATCTTGACCGAGCGAGGCTCTATTTGCCGACAGATCGCCAGCTGTCCTGCGACTCGATGCCGATGACGGACTTCGTGTCTCTGTACGGTCGGTCAATGCTCCGCGGCTTGACCGTCTCGATGGACGCGGATGATCGTGAGACGACAACTCCGACGGGACGCGCTGGGTGTTACGGCAGAGACCACTCTCCGGATTGTCCAAGCTAGCCAAGTAGCAGGCCAGGGTCCGGGCACTTAGCTCAGTGTAACGGCGATACGGCCCTTCAGATACCCTTCGCCTGTAACTCGCGCAGGTTGGAGTGCGGCAGGCGGGATCTTGACATCCATGAAGAAGCTGATTTTTGTACCTTTGAATCAAAAACTCAATTAGCCGTGACCTACGCCTCACCTCACCGGGTTTACGTCTCGGGTGACACTCACTTTCGGACTAGAAGGTTGAACTGGCGCCGTCGCTCCTCTCTATACCATAATAGAACTTGCGCCGGATCGGACACATCGACGGTGTTCTGAACAATGATATCTGGAGCGTTTGAGGGAAGCTTTGACCGATGGAACTGAGACCGGTCGACGCCAGCATCGTACGAGCTCACTGAAGCTCCGCGGAGCCTAGTCATCTTCGCGAACTGAGGAGCATACCTGAGCGGTGGCAGTCAGGAAAACCCGTTCCTATCGTACCAATAAGAAGTGGAAGAATATAGCTAAAAGCAAGATGGTGGTCGAATCGTGAACAGAGTATGCTGACGGCCAGTCCCCAAGCTGATATCATCGCCAGAGCGGTACCCTAGCCTCAGGCGCCAAACCCCAAGAGTGGAGATGACTAAGGTGTCTGGAACATCAATGATCCAAGAGATCTCAAGCCTAAACCAGAATGGGACAGCCTTGTGTCCAATTAACCTAATCGGATTAGCTTGGCCCATCACGTGCCTTGAACGTCATCGCCACTGCCCAATATTACAGCCTTAAAGCGGCAAGGCGAGGATTTTGTGCGGTTCGGATGGGACTTTATCGGTGATTATTGATTATCAATAATTTCTTCGACCAGCATACACCAAGTGAGATCAGGAGCGCTTACTGATTGCCTGGCACCCTCTGGTTGCCTCTCTTTTCCTATCTCTTACCTTCCCTATATCTTCTTCAGGACCTGACTCACCCTTCACTTTGTGCTCGAGTTTTCGCATCAGCTTGTACCCCGCTCGATTTCTTCCCACAACGAGTAGTGGGAATTAACCACCGCACACTACATTGTCTGATACCCTTATTCTTTGGTTGATTACTTGAGTAGCTTCAAGATGTCTTCTCTTCCTTATACTTGCAACACCTGCTTGGTTGCGTTTCGGAGCAGCGATGCTCAGAGGGATCACATGCGCACGGATTGGCAGTAGGTTTTCCCAGAAGCCTGTGACACATCCGTCAAGTCACTAACATCAATAGTTTATATAACATGAAGCGCCGTGTTGCCTCTCTACCTCCGGTACCCCAGGAACTCTTTAATGAAAAAGTCCTTGCCGCCAAAGCCACTTCAAGCGCCGCTGCCGCCAAGGCGTCATTCGAGAAGTCCTGCCTCGCTTGCCAGAAGACATTCTATAGTGAGAACTCGTACCAGAACCATGTGAAGAGCTCCAAGCACAAGGCCCGCGAGGCGCGGATGCAAAAAGACCTTGCGGATGATTCGTCATCCGTGATGAGCTCCACCTTCTCTCTGGGTGAACCCATCAACAAGTCTCAGGAAGGCGACTCGGATGTCACCAAGGTTACCGAGAATCTCAAGACATCGACGATCGAGGAAGAGGATGAGGATGAGGAGGAGCTCGAGGACGACTCTGAATACTCGCCTTCCCGCTGTCTGTTTTGTAGCCACAAGGCGTCGGACCTTCAAGAAAACACAGATCACATGCGCAAGAGCCACGGCATGTTCATCCCAGAAAGAGACTACCTCGTCAACCTTGAGGGCCTCATCCACTACCTGTACCGGAAAATCAACGAGAACAGCGAGTGCCTCTACTGCCATGCCATCAGAAACAGCCCCGCCGGCGTTCGTACTCACATGCGGGACAAGGGCCATTGCATGATCGCTTTCGAGACCGAGGAGGAACAGATCGAGATTGGGCAATACTACGACTTCCGAAGCACATACTCCGATGACGAGGCCGGGTCAGTTACCAGCGAGACACCAGGGGACGGCGGAGTCAAGGTAGCCGGCTCGGACGGCGACGACGACGGATGGGAGACGGAAACCTCCGCCTCCTCCATGGACGAGGACGAAGACGACGATGACTTCGATTCCCACAGAAAGGCACCCGTCGTGTACCAGACCGAATACGAACTGCATCTCCCCTCCGGCAAGAGCGTCGGCCACCGTTCTCTGGCCAAATACTACCGCCAGAACCTGCACAACTACCCATCGATGGAGGAGCGGATCGCCCGCCAACTCGCCATCGAGAACGGCGAAGTCGAGGAAGAGCAGCCCCGGGGCCGCAACCCCACCCGCGCCCTTGTCACCCGTGCCAATGGCGGCCTGGGCATGATTGGCGCCACGGACGATCAGAAACGGGCCGCGGCCATGTCGGAACGCAAGGACCGGACGCGCGCCATTCGGCAAGAACTCCGGTACAGAGATCGGGTAAATCGGGCTGCGAACAACCAGAAACACTTCCGGGTATGTACATCTTTTCGAGACCAGCTCGACAGAAAGCTAACGTTGACTACTAGGACCCTCTCCTGCAATGATCACAGCGCTGGTCTTTTTTTCTATTATGGTTCAATGGCCGTTTGGTTTTGTCAAGTCGATTACGTGGAGTTATTCAGGTGCATGCATATACATGGATGAGATGAGATGATCGAAATATCAAAAGTCGAATGCATATGACGAATTCCCGGATTACGTAGTGCATACAGGCGGTCTACCGTCTCTACAATCATTTGTATATGGTGGGGAAAATAGAGAAGTCGATTAGACTGGCTGGGTTACAGGCTATTTATGCATGGGATAAGCTTCCCCAATGAAGAATTCAAACGAACACCATTATCGTTCGCTCTTTCCGTAGTCACGTACAGTATGCTCATACACAGGCGCTTACATCAAGGTCTCGCTTGCACGATCGTTGCTCTGGCCGGCAGAGTGATGGAGAGGTAGAGAGGTGGAGAAAAGGGAAGAGACGCCTTCCAGCCACGACAAAGCTCATTGGGATAACAGAGGTGCTTCTTCGTCAGGCTGGCCGGCCGAGTTCTTCGCGTGGGACTTGTGCTTGCGGCGGCGTTTCTTCTTTTTGTGCCCGTTCGTTTGTGCGGCGGGGGCGGATTGCTCGTCATCAAGGTCGATGAGCTGGCCGTCCTGACGAACGGGGAACTTGGCCTGCTTGGTGGACGATCTTTCATCATCGGAGGAGGAATTGCTGCTGGTGGTGTGGAGGATGACTTTGCGGATTCCGTTGACATCGACGACTTGTTCGGTGATGCTGCCGCTCCGGGCGGGTCCCTTGTGCAGGTAACTACTGCCTAGTCGGGGCCGTTCCTGGTTCCGCAGATCGGACGATGTGGTGCTGGTGGCGATGCTCGTCCTCGACGGCGGTTTATCATCTTGCTCTTCGTGGACGGCTTCTGGGATGGATATTTCGACGGTACCGTTATCCGAGACTCGGTTGTTCATGGTGCCGTAGCCTAGCTTGACAGCGTGAGCACCGTCTCGGGCGTCGATGCCAGATTGAAGGAGTCCAGCTCCTATGCCTCCGGCCAAGCCGGCAGATGTATTGTTCATGACCTGTGAGCCCGAGGTGCTCTGTCCGGAATCCATATCAGTTTGTCCCGATCGGCTGGGAGAGCCGCTTGCTCGCTTGATCTTCACGTTCTGGTACCGAGTTTGACGAGGGCGGCTGGCCAGGTTAGACGGCCCAAGGTGCTTCAGGTGCTCGCGTATCTCCTCAATGGGCCCTTTGTGAGTGAGGAAACCATCAGTCGAGTCGGAATTCTTGTCCGAGGTCTGGAGGCGCATATGAAAGCGAGGCGGAGGAGCTTCCACGGAGCTGCGACGCCGATCAACAGAGGGCATGCGGGATTCGTCGTCGGTTTCCATCGGAGCGCCCCCGGACTCGAGAGAGAGCATGGGCGGCTCCTCGACAATGCGACCTTTCGGAACACGAGACTTGGGAGCCGGAGCCATGCGTCTAATTGCTTTGTGCACATCAATGAAGACATCGGACTCATCGATGATCTCCCTGGTCACGGGTCAGTGTTATTCGCCAGATAAGGGACAGCGCAAAACACATACTCGCCAATTAGCTCCTCAATCACGTCCTCCAAGGTGACAACTCCTAATGCACCACGATCCTCACCAGGGTATTCCGAGACGAGAACCATATGAGACTTGCCCTCCTGGAAGAAGTTGACAATGTCCAGACAGCTGGTCTCGGGGCGAGTCTCGGGAAGCGTTGCCAAAGCGAAATCTCGCACGCGCTTGCAATCTTCAGGATCGTAGGTGATGAGCATCTTGACCAAGAGCATACCCACAAAGTTCATATGATTATCGGGGGCATGGATGGGAATGCGGGAGTATCCCTGGGACAGAATGAGATCCATAGTCGCCTCGTCCAAGACGGTATCTGCGGACATGGTGAAGACATCTTCCATGGGCGTCATGATGCTTCCGACAGACTTCTCTTTGAGGTCAAGCACAGCGCTGATGATGGTGACTTCATCCGAGTTGAGCTGTTCTCCTGCCTCACCCAGAGTCTTGTGTAATGTCACCAAAGTCTTCAGACCAGCCTTCTTGTAGATTGTTCCATGATCTTCACCAAGTAGTCTGTCCAGCAGCTTGGCCACGGGCCAAGCGACAGGAGCCATGATGTACATGAGCACTAGGACACAGGGAGCCATCCAGGCCCCGATCGGGAGACCGTATCGGACGCATATCGACTGAGGAACGATTTCACCAAAGATCACTGGGACATCATTAACACGACGCCAGTGGGGAGGTTACCAATCAAAAGAAGAGGGGTATATTTACCGATCAGTACAGTACTACCCAAAATAGCAGGCCAGCCTCCTCCGAGCGACCGATCGAGGACGATGGGGAGAGTCTCGTTGGTGATGACGTTACTGAGCAGCAAAGTCACCAGAACCCAATGTTTTCCTTTCTTGAGGAGTCGAAGCACACTCGCGGCATTTCTTCGTTCGGATTTATCGCCTGACGTTTTGATGACTTGCAGATAGACCTCATCCTATCAGATTGACGTGGGGGGTTAGCGATCGACTCTTCCAGGCCCGATCGGGAGGGATAATGTGAAAGCATACCTGGCCCATCAAAGCAATGGTCAACCCAGCAAAGGCACCACCGCTCAGCACGAGCGCAGCGGCCACACTGAGGTAGAGCCATAACTGCGGGTCACTGGCTGGTTTGGGGTCGAATTCATGGCCGCCCAAGACTTGGTAATGATTGCGAGCGACGACTGTAGGAGCGGCGGCGATGAGGGGTATTTGGGCGGAAGCCAGAAGAAACAATTTCGCTAAACCGAGAACAACAGGCCTGAAGGCCACGTAGCGGTTGGCCGAAGGTATATCCATCAGCAGTTGATGAGGGAGTGAAAAAAGAGAAGTGAGTAGTAGCGCGGGCTACTGTCGA